GCAAACCTTAAGGTAAGGACGTGGTAAAATCTGCTTGCATAAGGGCTGCAAAGAGTGCATGTTGAAAAAATAAAGGAAAGAGGACAAAATATCCATCCATGCAGATACTGGGATGTAGTAATAACAATACCAGTAATTTAATAATAGTAATAATAACAATAATAACAATGCTGGCAACAAAAGGCTGTGTAAGTTGTGAGTGACTTCAGGGACAGAGTTGCATGCAAATGCTCCATTATGGTATTTGTAGATCAACCCACAGCAGTTCACACCATCTTCCTGTGTTTAATCAAAGTAGTGCTTCTGTGCATATAGATGTATCTGAATGACTTAATTTTTTAAATAAATAGATTGATGTTATGTTAGAGCCCTTAGGCTTGCTTTGTGGGAACCTTTGGCTGCAGTTTTCCCCCTGAGCACATGGTCTCTGGGCTGTATTTATACTGCCTTTTTTTTCTTCGACCCTGGCATCACCTATCTGGTGGGACATCTCCCACCTCATGCCAGAGCAGTCTTCATCTCACCCTTAGTGTGCCAGAAGTCTTAACCCTAATTTCTTACTTTCCTTTTTTTTTTTTTTTTCCACCTGTGATACAAGCTTACAGTATTAGGCAGTATTAGTGCTTCAAGTCCAAACTCAGGGCAGCCTGAGTATGAGTTCCAGTGCTGGTACTTCCATCTACAACATTGGCATCAGCCAACACTAAGCAGCATTACTGCCTGGTCATTTCACTGTGATGCATATTGTATCCATTTTTATAGTTTCTTTTATACTTTCAACAGTCTTTATAACTGCAATAATGTCATTCAGATAATTATACTGTAATTGACCTTAGTGTTGAGCATCCTTAGCTTTTACTGCAGTTTGCTTAATACTTCAATATGGTCAATTATCTTGTAATTCCCACTTTGTTGGGAATTATTGTTTTAATTATTCCACTCCAAATACATCATTTTGGCATAGTAGTAAGGGTACACTGGGGAATGGTCATACTCATGAATGCTTTAAAGAGTTACCAGCTTTAACATGGAGGAAGGCTTTTCATCCTGTCATCTCTAGTCATTACTTTTAACACTGATTTCATTTAATTATCACTTAGTGGGCTGAGGCCAGGTCTTATCTGGAGAAGTCGGCATATGGGGAGTTGAGGTTTGCAGCTGGGTGGCTGTACAATTTGATTTATGGTTTCCACACTGATTGCTGCCACATTACAGTGTGAGCTACGTATGTTGATTCAGCTAAATTCCAGTAAAAGGTGTGGATAAAACCGTGATTTCCCCCCCCCTCCCCCCCCAGCAATTATCCCAATCAGACACTGAATATGCTGGTAAGAATTTTATGGCTGCATAAGAGGCTTATGTGGCTATGGCTCTCTGGATACTGGTTTCATTTGCACCTGTATGGCACTGATACTCCACCAGGAGCAGCATCTTGGTGGTGTTGGGGAGAAAACAGCATGGTCCTTCAGTTAGTACTGTGCCCAGCACTGCCCAAAACAGAGGCTGAATCATAGCATGCTATGCTCTATAGTGTGAAAAATACTGTGGGTCCAGCACTAGAAAGACACTATTCTACTTCTTAAGTAAATTATATGAACATAGTAATGTGCTCAGCCTTTCTACAAATGTGTATGTTCATTGTTTTTTTGTCAGCATTTTGTGATGTATTTACCATGAATAAAAATGTTCTACTGAATCAGAAAATGAAAAAGTGGTATGTTTTGCTCAAACACAAACTAAGTGCAACCTACTTTCACCAAAAAGTATTTTTTCTTATGTGTGATATAATTATTACATGTGAGCAAACTCAGCATTGCTTATTAGGAAAATGCTACTCTTCTAGTAGATTAAAGCATTTTATTGAAGAAAATAGCAGTGTAAAAAGACTTCATTTCTCTATAAATTTTAATAGTTACTAAAACAAGGACTCTGGCCCATTAAGTTACAGCCTGCCAAGTCCCAGTGCTGAATCACTTTCTCTAAGTAACTATCCTATTCCAGCTTCTTAAAGGCAGCTGTTAGGAGAGCACTGATGTTTAATCATGGAATAGGGCAGAGTCTATCAGCTGAACAGTGTGTTTTGATGGGGTTTTCTTTCACCATCTGCAGTTGTAAGGACCTCTCTTGGAGTTTGTGGGCTGGCACACTTAGGAGCCAAGGTGTGGGTGGGTACAGGATTATTTGCAGGAATCTGATGTCAGTGGAAACCATGAGGACATTGTTACTTTCAGTATTTCTCAATGAAGGTAGGTCCTTATCAGTGCTTATAGACTGAAAAGCTGTTACAAACAATAGAGGGAGCTCAATATGAGTAATACTGTTGTCTCTCACACAGTGAACACAGTAGGCATTACGTCCATAGAAAGATCTAGACCATAGCTCATTGTCTCTGTATGTGACATACTTACATTACTTAGCATAAGAGATAAATTTAGATCTGTCAGCAAAAGTACCAGAGATCCATTCCATGAAATTGCTGATCTTAGTGTGGCAGGTGCATTTCATGCTGAAGGGAAAAGAAGGCAGTTCTGCAAGGGTATTGGTGCAAGAAAAGGGACATGAAAGTTAAAAGTGGGAGTGTTTAGATTTGGTCTGTAGTAATTGACTCGTGAGGCAAAATAATGTCAGTCCTAGTACACTGGCGTAATTTCAGATTGGTGAAAGAGGTTCTGCCTGCTGTCTCTGTTTTTTCTGCTAATGTCAGGTGAGAATACTGCAGGAGGATCCTTCCATATTGGTATAAGGTCAGATCCATCTAGCAGTAAAACCATTAAGCAGTGTGCATTGCCCCAGTGCCCAATGCGGTGCTCATCCTTTAATATGCTACTGATAATTTGCTATTTCATCTTTCTAGTAGGGACCTTAAATTTATTACTTTATTAAGTAGTGATATCAAAGATTAAAATGGTATCTATAGCACATAGCTAACCAGATTGTGAAAAATGGAACTGTATGGTTTCAGATTTATGAAAATAAATATTTCTATTTAAATAAGTGCAGTAGTTTAATTCTTTAGACACCACTTTAATTTGTAGTCTATTGGTGATTATTTTCCTTCATTTTAAAGCAAATTGCTTTCTGTAGGGTGAAGTTGAGAAATAATGAATTGAATTCACATTACAAGCTACTGCCTTCCAAATTCTAAATAAATATAAATGTAATAGGAGCTTAGTATAAAAATCTTTTGCAAAAGGCTATGCTATATCATTGCAGGAACAAATACATTTTTCAAGTCATCAGTTCATTTAATGTTGTGTTTCTACTTGGCCTTTATTATAAGGGCTTCTGTACCCTGGCACTGCTGTTTCCAAATGTCTTAACATGTGTTGTCACTTCAGAGCAAAAAATAACTTTGTTAGTTTGTGTTATTTGCTGTAATCATTGATTAATGATCTGCTTTAAAACTAAATTAGGATTTTAAGATGTATTTGCACAGTATGGGAAAGACACAGGCTGTGCTTTCAACACTAGCTTTGTTCTAATCTTTTTATTTCATCTCAATGGTCTTAGAGGGTAATTTACAATTACCAGTCAAAAATATGGAAGATTTTTGCAAATTCTACCATTCATTAACCTAAGATGATGTTCTCAAGAGCTGGAAATTTCAGTAAAATGGAGAGGAGGACCTGTATCCCAGTAGGTAGTAACATTCTCTTGTGTGACTTGGGCAATGACCACAGCTTAATTTCTTGTGGTTAAGTTTTCCTAATCCTTACCAGAAGCTTGTGAAATAATAAGGAAAAGAAGTTTTGTAATAGTGACGGAACAGAAGTTACTCAATGTAAATTCTAATTTCTTAGTTTGTATTCATGTTAATAACTGCACTGAAAACCCCAAAATGAAATTGCTATGTAGTGCAGTTTTATGTAGAAAAACAGCTGTCCATCATGCATGGAGGGAAAAAAAAACAAACAAGTGTTTCTGGATGAATGGGAGGATCTAAAATCCATCAGTCAGGACTTCTTTGGTTGTTTCTCACCACCCCAGTAAAAAAGGACAGACATGGAAACAGTCAGCAGGATTTCAACTGACAATTATTTTCATCTCCATTGCTGTCATTTCCCATTCTGCAAAAAGCCTGAACACATCCTTACTTATGTGCGTTCAACCACTGACTTCAGAGTGAGATAAAGTTTAGTGCATGCTTAAATGCTTTCTTGAACTAGGGCCAAAACTGCTGCTGCTACTAAAATCAGTCCCAGAGGGAATGTTGCATCTTTCATTGCTTCCTTTTTTGTATACGAAGATACAGGCTCCACAGAGCCCTGGAAATACTGCAGATTTTGATAAATGTTGCCTGCCTTGTTTAACGGAATAGAGTGGAGTTGTAGATGATAGTGCATAAAGTACAGATTATCTTCCTTTCTCTCCTGTCCATATGTGTGCTCTTTAGCAATCATTACTAGGTGAGCACTGTACAATAGCAGGAGAATCACTGAGTCAGTCTGTGTTTGTTTCTGTCTGCTGCAGGCATAACCTGTAATTGTAAAAGGCAGCAAAATAAAATTAGTTAAGGTGTTTTCCCCTATTCTTGCCTCCTCCAAAACTGTTCAAAAGCTTGCTTCTTTCTTTGGTAGAAATCTTCATTCAAATGTTTGCTGAAGTGTGACTTGCCTTGAGCCTCTTTGTTCTTTTAGATTTACACAGGCAAACACACACACATGTGCAAACACACACGCCTCTTCTGGGACTGTTGACTTAACCCTGCATATTTGTAGAGGAAACAAACCAAAACAAGACCAGTGCACAGTATTCATAAAATCCATCCCATTGGTGGTGCAGATAACCACCATGATTTGTCAGTTGATCACCAATACATAGTGCAGTTTTTAATACAAGACATATGCTGGGTAGCTGTCACTGGTTAAAACCCAATGTGCTGTCTGTGAGAACAGCTCCAGATCATACTATCAGTGTAAGCTGTATTGAGAGGTGGTGACAAATGAACCACTGTTGTGAATGAGGGCCTGATTATGCTTTCTTCTCTTTTCGGACTACAGAGCTCTTCTGTATCTCCCTCAGCCAGTTTCAGAACAGCAGAAAAGCACAGAAATTCAACAGATTATTCTTCAGATAGTAAAAAACAGAAAACAGAAGAGAAGGAAATAGCAGCTCGTTATGTGAGTAATTGTCTACATTGTGCAGTGTTGAACTTCAGTGTTCCTCTGTAATTTCACCTGATTTCTGCTGCATAACTAATTTTAAAATGAGGGTCAAATTTTAAGTGGTTTTTGCTGCCAACCTCTAGTGTCTGTGCTGGATTAAACACTTCAGTGCGTATAATTGATACTGTTTTTAACAATATAAATGCAAAGCACCTGGAAGTTGCATGACAATAGTGCTGAGCTTTAGTTAGGCTGGGACTTGTTAATGAAGTCTATCTTGACTCAGCTTTATAGTACAGCGCCAATTTGGATGAAGATTTTCATCCCATATCCTTCTTCACCAATGTGAAAACTGGCCAAACTGCTCTAGTTGCGGCAGCTTGCTAAGCAGAAGCCCTGTAGATGACTGAAAGACTTTAATCGTTTTACCACACAAAGTTTGGTAAAATTGAATGGTACACTGCAGATTTATGAGCAACCTTCCTTTGTTTTTGTAATTGTTAAAAACATTGGGATACGATACAAAATAATTTTTTTTTTAACATATTGTGATTTGTCATTGCAGGACAGCGATGGTGAAAAGAGTGATGACAACTTGGTAGTTGATGTTTCAAATGAGGTATACATAATGATATTTTTTTTACTTTACATATATGGTGATGAGGGTATCTTCAGTGGTTTCTGTGCATATTGGTTTTATGAATAGGATTATGGCATTTGAACTTGAAATGCCTGACAGAATCCAGTCATATCCTCTTTCTTTAGGATACAAATCAGATCTGAAGTTATATACTTCTACAAAGTTGTAAGTACTTCTACAAAACTTGTAAGAGTGTCTGTCTTTTCTTTCACTTTGGCCATGACTTCATATGTGAACCTTATCAGGTCTGCCAAATGCATCAAATCTTATCACTTGAAATATCAGATTTACTTGCCTATTTCAATATCCATAGATTTTTGGCATTATCTTTAGTGGTTTAATGGTATCAAATTTTAGGAGTTTTTAAAAAAAAAACAACAAATTGTCCTTCATTATCCCTCTCAATTTTACAATTGTATCAGCTAAATCAATTAAGAATGGAAGGAATATGTCACTTTTTATGACAGATCTTCATTCCAAATTGAGGTGATGCCTCGGGAGGCTACCTAGAATAGAGGCTAGACAGAGTTAAGGGAATAAATTAGGTGTTTATTAAAAAGCTTTTAAAGGATACATCTTGGGCAGTACAAGAGCCCAGCCATGGCTCCAAGACAGGCCCAAGATGGACTCCTGGTCATGAGTTTTCACACTTTTGTAAGTTTTGGTCCATTTACATATTGGGTTTAATTGTTCAATTACAGCTTCAAATTTTGAAGTCCCATCCTCCAGACTGCTCTCCTCAGTTCGCTGTTGTTTATACATTTTTGTCCTGAGGCTGTAACTGTGTCCTTGGTCTCAGGCTGGAAAGAGATTGTTTTGTCTACCTAAACTGTGAGGAGAGCTTGCTAACACTTTATATAAAGTTCAGAGTTATATACTAATGCAGTGCAGAATCTGGAAAATATGAAAATAAACTTAAGACATCAGAGGACTGCTCAAGACAAGGACTAGTAGCTAGCATGAAGTTATTATGCTAACCCGTATTCCTGATACTTAGGATCCTTCTTCTCCCCGTGGAAGCCCAGCACACTCTCCACGGGAAAATGGCTTGGACAAGACTCGACTGCTGAAAAAAGATGCACCAATTAGTCCGGCATCTATTGCATCCTCTAGCAGTACTCCTTCCTCCAAATCCAAAGAACTTAGCCTTGTAAGTGCTACAAAATGCTTCTATGACCCCCAGTTGTAGGCTGAAATGCATGCTTACCAGATTTCTGTCTGGACACAATTTGTATTCCCACAGCTGTCAATAAAGCACTTTGAAGCATCAATTTAGTATTAGTTTAATTTATCTTTTCAAGGGAGTCTAAAAGAAAGTCCACACAGTCTTTTTTGGGATAGGAAGAGGTTATTTTCACTGGTGGTGTGAGTAGATGATAGATGTGGTGTTCTGAGAGATATTTTTCTCCACCCTCATATGAAGAACTGTTATTCTGAGAATAAATAAAAGTACACAGGGGTTTCTTGAGCTGTTTTCCTATGCTGTGGTTTATAGCAAATTCAGTTCCCTGCTTGGATATGATTTGGTTGTTAGCTTTGTTTGAATTACCAGGCTATATACAACAACAATAATTTTTATTTTCTATCTAAAAAGTAATCTGTCATTTACAAGAGCCTTCCTTGACTTGCATCACAAATCAAAATGCAAAAGAAAAGAGCTGCCTGCAAGGGGTGTTCTTTCCTTTCCTGTTTGTGGCCACAGTTAATCACCTACCTGAGCTGCACAGTAATTCCCCTCTTGATTCTTCACAGGGCAGGATATGAAATTACTTAAAGAAATAAAATAAATAAAAAGAAGGCTTAAACTGAATATAGTGCTCAGGAACGGTGATGGAATCACAGGTTCAGGCCTGGGAATCAGTGGTGTGTCTGATGAATGAGCCTGTTGCAAGAGCAGTACTGCACAGTTCCTGACTTTATACCTGTCACTGTCTTCATCCTGTGTTTCGCACCACACTTGGGCATGAGTAGTTGGTCAGTTTCGGGTTTTTTTTTCCTCCTCTTCTTGTCCATTCCTCACAGAAAATTACAACGGGAGCAGGTCCATGAGCATAGTGAGACCACTGACTGACTTCACATATGCTGCCAATTGTCAGAGGGAAATGATTTTCAGTCATTTTCCTCATTCTGAATCATACAGATTCTCCTGATGAGAAAAGCAGTGAAGGCTGTAGTTCATTTCCAAAGCCATTTTGTCTTTTTCAGTGTCTTTGCATCTTCTCTTCATTGCCGGGACTGTTGAAACCCAAACCCAGAAGCTAAATGCCACTAATATCACTAATCACTATCTATAAAGATAAAATAGTTTACAAACTCTCTTCCTTTTTCCTTCTTGGTGATTAGAATGAGAAATCTACCACTCCTGTGTCTAAATCAAATACCCCTACTCCAAGGACTGATGCCCCAACTCCAGGCAGCAACTCCACTCCCGGACTGAGGCCAGTGCCTGGCAAACCTCCAGGTGTGGACCCAATAGGTTAGTGTCTATATATTCCAGTGGTGACCATTTGTCCCTTGTCAGACTCCCTTTAAACCTGTAATAACAAGTTAGTATGGTAGGGATGCTTAAACTGGATGCTAAGCTGGTTTTTCAGCACTGTCATACAGTGTTATGTGGCTTCCCTTGGCTGGCTGGCTGGTTGGTTTGGGTTATTTGTGGGGTTTTTGGAGTTTTCCAAACTCATGTTTCATGTAATGGCTCTAGAATGCCTCTGTGACTTCTCACTTTCCCCCCTCTTCTTTTAGCTTCAGGTTTAAGGACACCGATGGCAGTACCGTGTCCTTACCCTACTCCGTTTGGCATCGTGCCACATGCTGGTATGAACGGGGAGCTGACCAGCCCTGGAGCTGCCTATGCTGGTCTACACAATATTTCCCCTCAAATGAGTGCAGCAGCTGCAGCAGCAGCAGCAGCGGCAGCTTATGGGCGATCTCCAGTCGTAAGTGCTTGCCATTAGTGCATTTAGTTTTGAGAGCTGTTTGTATTAAATATAAGATCTGTGGGGTTAACTCTAGTTCACTCATTTTGTGGTTTGGGGAGTATGCTATGGAGAACATGAATTAAATAGTCTTCCTTTGCCTAACTCTTACTTTAATACACCTTTTTGTTTTGCTTGGGGAAACTACAGGTTGGTTTTGATCCACATCATCATATGCGAGTCCCAGGCATCCCTCCTAATCTCACAGGCATCCCAGGAGGAAAACCGTGAGTATCAAGCATTCAACTTTAAAAGTCAATCATATCTTGGAAGTCGTGTTCCCTTGCTGGTTGGAATTCCCCTTAGCTACTGCAAACTATTGTGTGAATAGTAATAAGTATAGCTATTCAGCAAGAGCAGGAGAATCATTGTGCAATCTTAAAGTTGCATTTGTGAATTTGTTTTGAAGACTAATAGCAGTTGACATGGACTGGGTGATACAAAGTAAAGGAGACAGAAATAAATGGAAAAAGGAGATGAACTTGAAATTTGCCTGGTTGGTTGTTTATGGAAATGGAAGCTGGAATGGAATCTCAGCTTTCCATCTCTACCGCACTCTGCTTCTGAGTTTAAAAAAAATATTTTTTTGTTCACAAAAGCCTTGCAATTACTTGCAAGCTTTGCAGCTGTGTGCAGAGAAAAGGAATACTGGAATGTTTTGTTAGATTCAAAATACTGGAAATAATTATTTTATTATAATATTCAGATTCATCCTTGATGGAACTGACCTGTATAGTGTGACCTGCTTTACCAGGCTTTTCATGTTGTGAGCCTTGGAAGAAAAATTACGGAGAGAAAGAACTCTCTGCTCACATTCCTCTTGAGGCAGAGAGGAGAAAAACTAAAGCAGCTGTACAAACTGGGATCATATTGATCCAGATTTTCTTTAAGGTTCATCCAGTTCCTCTTCCTTGTCACACTTTTGGGAGACTGTGACCGGTTCATACTGGAACGTTTGATGGCCAAGGGCTGTTGGTACCAGTCGTTCTCAAGCTCTTTTATGAGTGAATGCTTTTGCACAGGAGTGGTTGGGTTAGTCATACACCTGGATTTGTGTGAGTAAATGCATATGCTTACCTGCCAGTGAGCCTGCAGACGCACAGGATTAACAACATACAGTGACAAGTGATCAGGCCTAGTGCCTGTAACTTCTTGTGTACACGTCACACAAATCATGATCCAGGTCCAGATCTCTCAGGCATCTCACACTGGCAACCACTTTCTTCATGTACTTTTCTGTTACTTGAGCCACTCTCTTAGGTGACTGCATAAGGCAGGTATGGAAATTGATGTACAGCAGCTTGCAGACCAACTGCTTGTATTAAAAATTCTGTGGGGCACAGATCTTAATCCATTACATACAGTGGGCACTAAGAAATGTATTGATGTAAAGTTCAAATGCTCACTGGACTTAAGCTCATCCCTGATGGAGTCAGTCACCTGGAAAGAAGTGTCTCTGGATGTACTAGACTTCGCTTGCTGTGGTGAGAGAAATGGCAATTTCAGGGTTTCAGAGACACCCCTGCTCACATCTTTCTTGTGTTAATATTGAGAGGAATAAAACATGAGGCAAACTGAAATCAAATCACTTAAATTCTGGTTTATCTACAATATTTTTAAATGTTGTTGCTCTGTTGATGTCTATCTTAAACATTTAAATATAACTGTCATTTGTCTACCAGAGGGCTTGAAACTTTTAAAATCTGTGGTTCTTTCAGCATGATTGTATTGACTTTTCTCTGTCTTGAGCGTGGTAGTTGTCACATCTTCCAGGATTATTATTTTCTCATCTACTCCATTTTTACCTTAGGGGGAAATTCATGTAAGTTCTCTGCAGTGTTGAGTGTCCTGAAATGAAGTGGGCAGCATTTGGGATCTGGCCCCTAATAACTCCCTTTTCAGTTTGGTATTGTATCAGCTCCTGAGTACTGTACAGTATACAAATGCTGAAAGATAGTATATAAATAGGAAAGATAGCTAATGCATTTTGTCCCACTGAACATTATTGATCTAGTGCATTCTGCATCTTAAATGACAAATCCAGTAGTTTAATTGTGAATACTGCCTTCTTTAGTCACTTTGAAGTTTCAATTGAGGAAGTGAACTTACAAAGTAGTCTCATAAAACAATTTCTGTGTGAGATATTCTCATCCCACCATTGTGACAGTGGATTTTTCATGAGCATTATCATGATGTTTTAGGTCTAAGAAAATTAAAGCCTTCCAGTAAGCATATCTTGCTCCTGTAATAGATGTGATGTATCAGGTAGCATCTCAGAACAAGGCAATTTCACAATCTAACTGTTCTCCCTGGAAAATGCTTTGAGATAAAGCTGTTAATAGGTTATTCACAGGTGGCATAAGTGTCAATCACAGAACAGATTCTTTCTCAGTGAGAGGTCTGATTTTGGCAAGAGAAATTGGGAGCTGTAGCAGTTGTGTCGAGTCCACACAAAAAAAACCCTAAAAAACAAAAAAGCCCAAACCCAAAACAACCCACAAAACAAAAAATTCCATTGCAGTGCATTTTAACTGGCCTGTCATGTCAGCTGTCAGCAACCATGCCTTGAAGACTTAACTCCTCAGGGCTGGTGGAAGTTTCACTACACCCTTAGGTACAGTGCTGAGCAGTTTTGCTCAGGGGGCCTGGAGCCCACAGTACATTTGGGACAGATTGGCAGCAGTCCAGCTGAAGCTGCCACATAAGAGTCAGTAAAGCAAGCAGCCAAATATCCCCTGGCAGGCAGCTACCCACCATGCTCTGGCAGCAACCAGCCAGCTATTTCTGTCTTCCAGAGGGCCCTGACCTTCTTTGCATGCTGTGATATCCCCATCCAAAGTTAAGAGGGGTGTCATATAGTCTCACTCATGCCAGAAATTATCATAATGTGAGTTGTTAAAGTTCATTTGATTGGTGCTTGACTTTCCACATTAAAAACTGAACTCCTATGTTTGTGCTTGGAGGGCCAGTCTTCAGATGAACAAATGGTTTCTCTTATGTGATTAAAATACATTATATAATGGCACAGTTGAGTAAAACATCGTGCTAATAACACCAAGGTCATGTGCTCAGTCCCCATACCACCATTCACTTCAGGGTCAGACTCAGTGATCCTTGAGGGTCCCTTCCAGCTCAGAATATTCTGTGAAATACCTGTGAAAAACTGAGCTGAGGGCACAGCCTGAATGCCTGCCAGGGGAAGCACATCTTTGATTCTGTTTTCCTAAACAGCCTTGAAGTAAAACTCCTTAAATCATCCCCTTAATTTTTTTTCCCTCAGAGCATACTCATTTCATGTAAGTGCAGATGGTCAGATGCAGCCAGTTCCTTTCCCTCCTGATGCCCTCATCGGTCCAGGAATCCCTCGCCATGCCCGTCAGATCAACACCCTGAACCACGGGGAAGTTGTGTGTGCAGTTACCATCAGCAACCCCACGAGACACGTGTACACGGGTGGGAAGGGCTGTGTCAAAGTTTGGGACATCAGCCACCCTGGCAACAAGAGCCCTGTCTCCCAGCTGGACTGCCTGGTAGGTGAACAGCAGCATACAGCACTGAAAGAAGATAGGACGTTGTGTTAAGATTACAGTGATACCACTAAGGTGTAAAGTGCAAGTGGGTATTTGATATCCGTCATGGTATCACAGCTTGGTATTGCATTTGTAATTTTGTTGTTTCCATTAGAACTGAGGTTGAAGTATGTTCCTCACCATACCTGTGGGTTTTTTCCTCTGCAAAGAATCAAAACATGTTTAATATCCTAAAATTGTGGTAGGAGGAAAGATCAAAGACAGCACAACAAATATTGTTTATAAACTTTGGCATTTGCTGGCAATCTTACAGCTTGTTGATACCCAATCATGCTAAAAATTGCTGTCTTACAGCTTGTATTCTCTGAGAATATTTGGGGATTGTGTCACATATTTTGTATCTGTATATATGTACAAATGCATTGTCCTGTCTTAATGTGGCAATTAAAAATAGCCCTGAATGCTATTCACAAAATATTTAAATGTGCTAACAAGATAACTATTGCTAGCAGCTTTTCTCTTGTTATTTACCAGTTCTTGCTAAGATGTTGCTGTTTGTTACAGTAAAATGAAAACTGTGCAGTGCGTGTAGACTTACAATGAATTGCTACACAAGTTGCTACACAAGTGAATAAAATTGCCCAAATATTTTCCTCTGACATCTCCTAGATGGTGGCAGCAAGTCTCACTGGAATGGGAAGGGGGAAAGTGTGCAGGGAATTTGGTACTCCCCCATGCTGAGAGGTTAATGTGCTGAAATAAACAGAGTATGAAAATACAACTTTCTACACCAGCTGTCAAATTCAGCTATCCTGAATTGTTTCTGGGTTCAGGTCTTTGCATTTTGATGCTAATTAAGATTAAATATCTCTCACTACTGAATTCTGTAGATCAAGTTGAAGTACTTCCCTAATGTCATGTAATTTTCTGGCATTAATACACTTTATCATTGTCATAAGTATAAATGGCTCATTAAAACCAGGAGGGAATACAATACTTTTATGGATTTCTGCTCTCATGTTAATGCTGTTTTCTTTCCTCATGAGTAATCTCTTGATGGCTTCTGTCTCCACAGAACAGAGACAACTACATCCGTTCCTGCAGGTTGCTCCCTGACGGCCGCACCCTGATTGTTGGTGGGGAAGCCAGCACGTTATCCATTTGGGACCTGGCAGCACCAACTCCTCGCATCAAAGCAGAGCTGACATCCTCTGCTCCAGCTTGCTATGCCCTAGCTATCAGCCCTGATTCTAAGGTCTGCTTCTCTTGCTGTAGCGATGGCAACATTGCAGTGTGGGATCTGCATAACCAGACTTTAGTAAGGTAGGTCGACCAAACTGGATCATCAAGTTGTGGAGAATTATTTAGGCACAGCCATAAATGTGCTTTTGCATATGTATTCTATTTTCTGCCTGCATAGATGCTTCAGTATTTTGTTGTTCAGCATAGCTATGGTAATACCTTGACAAAAGTCCATATGATTATTTGTAGGTTTTGAGAGTTACATAGTCCCAGGCTTTTGATCAGCCCATGACTATAATTCCCTAAATATCAGCTGATCTCAGTACTGCTGTAGATTCCTTGAACAGATGATTTTTTTCTTGTTTCCATGCAATATGCTGCTCTCATTCTAATTCCTTTAATCTGAGATCCAGTGAATATGTCTTGGGTAAAGATATGTGTAAATTACTTCATTGCAGACTTAGCCCTTCAGGAGTAAGGATTGGTGCTCAGCACTGATAGACAGTATGTTAAGAGCTGGGTACACAGAGCTTCTCTGTGCACTGCACTGTGTATATGTTGTACATATAATATCAGCATTGCATGCAAGTCAAGCTTTTATTACCTGATGTTACCATTTAGACTGCTCTTTTTTTTTTAACTTCAGTGACCTGCACATTTTTCTTAAACTAAGGTAATTTTGCTGATCATGCTAGAGGGAATTACTATTTTAAGATGAGTAGTGGGTATCACACAACCAGCAGCAGAGATTTCCAGAGTACCTGACTCTTAAAGTGTTCTTTTTGAAATCACATTAGCTGTCTGGCCTGATTGCATCATCAATTCATCACAAAACTCACATGATTGTCCCAGAGTTTACATTCATCTGGGATTGCTACTGGAATCTAAATTACAACTCAGGGACTGAAAGAAGGTGTTTGTATTTTTGCTCAGAATATGCTGATCTTATTTTAATATTTTCAGGCAATTTCAGGGCCACACAGATGGAGCAAGCTGTATTGACATTTCTAATGATGGTACCAAATTGTGGACAGGAGGTCTGGACAATACTGTGAGATCCTGGGATCTCAGAGAAGGAAGACAGCTACAGCAACATGACTTCACATCACAGGTTCAGTCTCAGATCCTTTGGCATGTTAACAAAATTTTCTCATGGTTTTTTAAAACAAGCAAGCACTTTAAATTTTTTTTCCTTCTTTATAAGTAAAATAAGCAGTCTTAAAGATAATTTCAAAGAATTTTTTAGTTAGTCTTGTAGTCCATACTCTCTTTTTTAGTTTTGTGGGTTTTTTTCTCTTGTGGCAGCTAAATGTATATCTGGATTATGAGTGTTTGATGGATTAGTACCACTCCCATGGGAGTAACAGAAATTCAGTTTTATAGAACAAGTGCCAGATTAAAATGTTCCTTTCTGCAATCTGTTCCCATTGATGTAGATTCAAGTTCAAAAATGTTTTATGAAAATATTTTTAAATGCTGTCAGATAAGCTTGGACATTAAATTTTATAGTTGGATTCAGTACTTCACTATTGCAGTTTTAATAACGTTTAATAGCATAGTTTTGCAGCTGTGTTTGCATGAACTAATTTATCTTGATTACTGCAGTAATTGGATTATCATGTTTTTAAAACTGCAGTAGAACAAAAATGTGAGTTTGCATAGTGCTAGCAGTGTAGCAAGGGTCAGTTTTGAATAGCTCAAGCTCATTCCTTTACTGATTGAAGCATGTGCTGTGCTAATTACAGATCTTCTCACTGGGCTATTGTCCAACTGGTGAGTGGTTGGCAGTAGGAATGGAGAACAGCAATGTCGAGGTGCTGCATGTTACTAAGCCGGACAAATATCAGCTGCATCTTCATGAGAGCTGTGTGTTGTCACTCAAGTTTGCTCACTGTGGTAAGCAAATCATTCTGAATCAGTGTTTCCCTCATGAAAAATTCATTAAAGATTACCTTTAAATGAAAGTGCAATATAGTTATTAAACTACAGAGTATAGTTTAAAATTAGGTATTAAACTTAAGTGTTAAGTTTATTTAAAAAACTCTGACTGCTTTTTTCTATGTACTGCTTATTTAGTGATGGAACATCATAGTGCAACCAGATGAAAATGTTACTGTTCTTTGAATATGTGTGAATACTTTGTTATGATCATCTGTTTCTGGAGGTGTATTCCTTGAAAACAAAATGCAGCAATAACATTTAAACAATCTGTTGCAGGCAAATGGTTTGTAAGCACTGGAAAAGATAATCTTCTTAATGCTTGGAGAACACCTTATGGAGCCAGTATATTCCAGGTAATAATCTCCTTGAAGCTATTTTCCACAGACATTACAGTGCAGTAGAGCTGCACATCTTAGGGTGTGTCAGTAGCCTAAGGAGTTTTCAGGTGGAAATGCAGCTAATTGCTGTAGTCTTTAAAGAATTTGTCTGTAATTAGGGAAAGAAATGCTTTTGTCTTTTCTACTATTCCATTAATTTAGCTCTTACAGTAAAATAGCCCTTTAATCTAAAATTGTTCTTAATACCCTTCTTTCTCATCATCTTCTCCATATTGGTGGAATAAAATACCCAAGTCATGTTGTTAGGTGAACAGGCACTGAAGGTCCAAAATGCAGCTAAACCAGTTGAAGTCATATTCGACATGTATATTTTTCTTGGATGAGATGTGTTTATGGATTGGATCAGCAGACTCCTGAGCTGAAAACTGAGGTGATATAGAGGGGCCCACTGACGTGTAACTGGAAGCTGTAGCCTATCTATAGTCCCTCGGTGCCCAGTTTTAATGGCATTCCAGTGCCACTATAGAAAAGTGGGATTTTTGGTGTGTCTTTCCATTCTCTCACCTGCAGGCACCTCTAGGTTGGGGATATTTTTATTAAATTTAACTGCTAACTGGCTCTAGTTAAAGTGACTACTCCCATGTGTACTAATGCTGCCATATCTCCACTTTTGGAGACAGTGCAGTTTAACTTGACATGAGAAAGGTAGGGTCTATGTTTTCATATTAGAGGCTATTAATTTCTAGAATCAATCCCCACAGACAGCCCAAATCATCCTAACAAGAGCACCTTAAAAGTGATTAGCTCTTGTGGTAACAGGCAGAAAATTATGTGGACATATATTATGCAAAGAAAACATGCACTGAAACAGCAAGGTGAATGTGGCAATGCATGCACTTCATCTTAGAACAAACAGCAAAACTGGAAGAGACAGAGCTGGTGCAACCTGCTGTATCCTGTGTGCCATCCAGCTCCTACACGCTTGTTGTGTATCCTGTTCCACCACAGTGTCTTTTCCTACTTGTGTCCTCTGTGATAATGTAAATTCCTTTGTGCAAAGCTTTTGTCTTCTTGTGTTGGGGAGGCAGTGAGAGGAGATACAGCTATTTCTGTGGAGTCTCTTTGTTTCATACCTGTGGATAGCTAGGGCTTTGAAGTGTTTCTCTGTATGAATGTCTTGTTTACAACAAAAGAAATGGGAAGAAGATGGGTTTTCATTCATTCACTTTTATGCAAATAGAATGCATAAAATATTAATAAATGCTCATTCCTTGTAAAGTATGTAGAAAGGACTACTTCTGTTTGTTTGATCGATAGATTACCTGTAGGTCCACAATATTCACATCCCTTTCTACCACTGCTTTATTTTAAAACAGATATTTCTGTGGAATAAAAGTTTTTTTAAAATTTTGCCACTATGATACTGGTACTTTAATGAGCTTTTTATGTATTCTCTATCTATAAATTCTTCAGGATTGAAGTATTGGAAAGATGTAATTTTACTTTTCTTTTTTCTTGTAGTCCAAAGAATCCTCATCTGTGCTTAGCTGTGATATCTCTGTGGATGACAAATACATTGTCACTGGCTCTGGGGACAAGAAAGCTACAGTCTATGAAGTTATTTATTAGAGACAAATCTGAATGCTGAACTCCTTCTCCTAGCACTTTGCTGTATATTCCTTTTTTTTTTTTCCTTTCTAAACTGAAAACTTAAATGCTCATCACAGTTGTAGAATTTATTTTTACCTTCTTAACTTGCTATTGATTTATGAATGTTCATTAAGAACTTGTGATACCAAATTGTCAGATATCTACTTGGAAGAAGATGAAATAAGCATACATAACAGTGACCTTGACTCTTTAATTATGTATTATAGCTGTAATGTATTTATTTTGTTTAAAGAAGGCTTTCTAACAATGTACTGACTAAATAAAGCTGTCTGGCCCGGCTTTAGTTTGAAAGATGCATCATATACTTGTGTTTTTGCAGGTGAATAAATTGGGGATCTTGGAGAAGGATGTTCAGGAGATAGTTAAAAATACACTAAATAGACTCGTAGTTTCTATTTAAAAAATAAACTTTGTTATATTTTTTAGTCCTGTTCTTGGATGAGACCTCTAAGTGTTATTACAGTATAATTATTTGGTGGGAAGATGCTGTATCTTAACTATTTTAGACAGTCTTGGAAACTTAGGAAATTGCAAACTGTAGCCAGTGATCTACATGCCTGTGATGAATGGCAAATTCAGTTCACATCTAAATTAAATTCCTTTTAAGTAAGAATGTGCTAATTTATATATTTACAATGTTAATATAGCATCTTGTGTACAGATTTGTTCTCAATGCTTTTCTGTTGATAAACATAAAGCATTTTGGTGTCAAGCTAGGTTTTTTAATATAAACACCTCTCTTTGTTATATTGTAGAGAGTACAATAAGTTGCCTCAAAGAGTCACCTTTGTTACTTCTGGAAACTTTTGCAATGTTTCCTTGAAAATGGGGATATGTGTCTTTGGGCAATTTTTCAATTACAAGAGATTATGAAAAATATTTGATATGTTCTTTGGAAACTGCACTGAAATAAGAATGGATGCCTACCAATATACAAACTACAAAAGCAATGACCTCTGAGGTAGGTTTTACAAGAATTCTCATTCCGACATCCTAAAACGGAATGGATTCTCATTGGGATAAGGACTTGCTTTGTTCGCCAGCAGTTCAATCCAAGTCTTGATTGGATGTCCCTAAGACGGACGCAGACTGAGCCATTGTGCCAGAGACAACGTGTTATCTTTTTATGTTGTTGTTGTTGCTGTTAAACTATGATCTGTGACTTTCTTTCTTTTTTTTTTTTTTTTTTTTTTTTTTTTAAAAAAAATTTTTTTTTTTTTTTTTTTTTTTTTTTTTTTTTTTTTTAATGCTTTAAAAAAAAAATCTTTAAGTCTGTGGATCTGCTGATGTACAGTGCCTTTGCTGCTATGGATCAAAATCAAGAGACCCGTGTAGATAAATCTTATTGTATAAGTAGAAAATTACTTAATTTCTTACTAGAAATGGATTGATGCTGCAAGTTAAAATGGACTGTTTATTGAAGTTCCAAATGTGGTAGCAAAAAATGGTGTCTTAAGTGCTTAGTGTTTGATGTCATTAACAGTTTCGTAATACTCTACATTGTAGAAAGATTTTGATACTAAACTGTGTCATTGTACATAGTTCTAATGCATTGTATTGACCACCAGTACTTCTATAATGGTAGATTATTGTTTGTGCATTCAGACTTTTAAGCATTAAACATAAGTAACTTCTAAGATGCATTTTTCTTTTTTTTTTTTCTCTCCTCTCTCATTGTCATGTTTGTGATAATCTCAGTCACACATGCAGCCGTTCACGGACATACCACTACAGATACTCGTGGTTTTGCCGCTGAAACACAGTGTAGAGTTTATGAATTTACAGTTTCTCACGTTACCTGACTGTACTGATTTTGAACACTTAGAGGCATCAGACTTTGCCTGTCACCTAAGAGTTTGCCTAATCCCAGTTTCCTATCTGACGAATCTGTCCCATACCTTGGGAGAGAGTGAAATTGTGCACCATTACTGCTCACATGCCCAGTGAGTCTGTGGAGTTCAGTAGGATTTGGGAGGGGAGTTGCACTGCAGCATCGCACCAGGGTTTCCTCATCCGTACCTAAAGTTTGTTCGTGCTCACAGACAGACTTCTGACATTTGGCTTTAGATCACGGATTTAGCCCAGCTTCCATGAAGTTAATGAACACAAGTTAAAGTGAGCTAGGGCAAATTAATCAATGCACTGCTGGGAAGGGTAACAGAGGGAGGAGTTATACTGTCTGTAACAGGAAAAAAAGCCAGAGGAAAATTTGAATTTTGCTGTTCTGTCATCTGGTTTTTTTGTTGTTCTAGCATCATTTCTGAAATTATGCTGTGCATGGTAGACATCCCAAAGCATGCAAGCCTGTCATGCCAGCCTGTGGTGACTGCTGGCACATGAACCCAAGCATAGAAATATTTTGGTTTTCGTGAAATGTCAAAACAAGACGTAAGTTGACAAAGTCATTTATTTGTACTGTGAGTTGATTAGATAATACTTGTTGATGGAGGAGAGTGTAGAGTTTTCTCTGAGAGCTATCAGGTCCTTACAGTTAATGGTGAAGAGTTTTTCAGGTTTCCCCCAGAAAAATGTAAGGTTTTACTTATAATAAGGTTCTGTGCTACTTAATACAATAATGCTCCATAAAAATAAACATGGTACAGATACCTTCTGTTAATATTTACTCTTGTCTGAAGAAATAGAATTTACTGCTTGTAAGCATATTGGAGACACCTTGTCTTTTCAAAGCAATTCAAAAATATAAAAGGCTAGGGTGTACAGTGTTTACTAAAAAAAGAGAAGCCACCTGCATAATGTTTGGAGAGGTTGTAGTATTTTTATGTAGTAGTTCAGGGACGAGATTACTTAAAACATCTAAGATAAAGTATTCTTTTAAAAAGAATGAAACATTGCATACACCTGAATTTGTAAGTTTTGACAGCAAAGTACTATACTTTTGAAGCAACCTGACATATATCTGCTTATTAATGTTTGCATTGATGGCTTGTAAACAGTGTAGGAATCAAATACGTTAATCCAGGATTACTGCAGTTAAATGTGTAGTCATCCTAATTTTTTTCCCTTTTAGGGCTGAGCACAAGTGAGAGGTGTTACACAGCTACTTTCTGGTTTTCTGTTATGCATACGTAGGGTCACTTTCCTTTTGTTTTGTTTGCAACTGCACAGCAATTTTGTGTAAAGTGATTTGATGCACATGTGTTTCATACCACAAACTTGTAGCAAACACACTCCCAAGGTACAACCATCTCTTTCTCTGTATTCTTCCCTTCTTAAACCTTACTTAATATGGTGATTGATTGATTAAGAAAGATATTTCTTTTTAATTTTTATATCTTTTCTGACTGGCCAGTATAGGTACACTTAGAGGGAACACTTCCTATCAAACCAGTCTTTTTTAAAGATATGCAGTTTTAAATTACATTTCTCTGTTTTTAGCCAAAAGAGATTTCTCTCTCCTATTTCTCCTTTACATTAAAAAAAAAAAAAAAATTACCAGCCATGTTTTTCATGTATGTGGAATTTTAAATCCATGCTGGAATAGTTCATATTGGATTTTGTGTATTGCATTGAATTCTGGCACCTGAAGCACATATAAAATTCCTTCTTCCTGAAATGTTGATAGGTGTGTGGGAGAAACAGGAAGATATCTATGCAGGTCTACATATGCCTGGACAATAATCTACAAAAATATGCTAGGTTATTGCACAATTAAATGCTTCTCCTGTTACTGCCCTATTTATTTCTGATCATTCCAACTGAAATCCTGATGTGACAAGCTTCTCAAGGTTTTTTGTTGTGAAAGAAAATTAAAAAAAACTTAGTCTGCACTTTCTCATGATGAATATACTACATCTTTATGGCACCAAATTAACACTGCATACAGCAATACAAGAACACTTTAGAACATCAAGTATGGCTACTGGGAAGAATGCCACTTCGGATTTTTCAAAGCAAATGCACTCTGAACAGCTCATCCAAAGAGCTGCTCTCACATGGTATGTAGGAGTGTAGTTGCCTTTAGTACTGGAGAGCTTTTCTGATGCTAACGTTTTGAAGTTACCACAGTGGTGTTGAAGAGGGTTTAGCAGTTTGGGCTTGATGTGCAGCTAGCCAGTTCTGCCATATATTTACATGAGAATCCCCATCCCAGACGTAGCAGGAGATTAATCCTGGAGTGGTGTGCTGTAGAAGATCATCTCTGACAAGCTCTTAAATAATTCACCTGCCACGTCTGCTTTTGAACCAAGAGTTACTGAACATAGCCCTTGAGATTTCATGTTTCTTCCAGTATTTGGACTACAGTGTTTCCACTGCACAGCAAGAAATTTTTATGTCAAAACCAATAAATGTTCTTACTCTTACCAAATGATTTTCTGTCCCAGTTACAAGGAAACAGTGTTACAGTGTATTTTTTTTTATTATTAAAAATGGTGTAGTCTGACATTTACAACATGTCCATAAACTTGCCATGGAGTGCAAAGAAGCTCTTCTGTGGGGTCACTTTGACTCACGTGGTTATGTTCTAAAACACTGCAGAAATAAATCTTTTCTTCTTTTGGGAGAGATTAACCTGTGATGTCATATGCACAGTGTACAAATTTAGGGGAAGGACTGTCTAGTGGTTACTTCTGCATCTATGGTTTGGATTTAGCTGATTACCCCAGAATGTTAAAATGCATTGAAGGGTAAAATCAGTAAGTACAAATATTTAAGGATTTAAAAAACAATTCTGCTGTTCTACAGTAATTATATTGACCCAAACTGTCTTTTAAAGTCATATCAAGGTAAGCATCTGTATTACACTCTCTTTTCATATTCAAATGAAGAAAGAGGTGGAGGAATTTTAAGCTAATCTTTAACTTTCAATCAAATCTGTCTTTAAAAAATACCCCAATTCTAGTGCTTCAAGAAGTACTTTTCTTGGGTTATTGTCATTATACTTGAAGAATTTTATAACAAATGTGCTGTAGCACAATCTACAGTAATGCCATAAATGAGAATAGGTGATAGAGCTGCTATTAAAAGCTAGGGTTTAGAGAATGCTATTAACATTGGGGGAATACAGTTTGATTTGGTGGTCAAAGGTGTTACCTCATTTCCTGAGCAAAAGCAATATGGAATTTTAGCTGCATGTTTTAATCCACTGTCTATCCAGTATGACTTAGGGGTTCATCTTCAAGGGGTTTCAGCAATTGTTTTGATATTTTCTTTTTTCTGTAATTTAGGATATGTTTGATGAAAAAAACAGTAATTAAGGACAACTCTGGTCCCAGGACCATGGGCAAGATGTGGAATGTGAAATGGATTACTCTGCTTCTGATTCCCGCCTGTGCTCTGTGCTGCCTGACACCTTGGTGAAATGATTTGCATGAACCCCGTGTAAAATGTTTTTATGTTCTTCCTCATGAAAGGCATTATCTAAAGGCTAGCTATCCATTATTTTGAAAATTTTGTCACAGCTGTATTGAAATATAGGGAG